TCTCACTATTTATTTTTATAAAAATTAATGTTCTTACTGGAAGTAGGATGAGTACAGAGTATACTATGTACAACTTTGATTTAGAATCCTGACATCTGCAGAAATACTGGGATGACAATGCAGTCATTGGGTTCATCAGATATGGACAAGAAGCTGAGAAAGGATCTAGTAAACCCCTTTGTGGCAACGAAACAGTCATCTGTGGTCTCGCGTATAAAGAGAGTCTGCACAGAAAAAACGTGCAGTAATGTCTAACACAAAACTCAGGATGTATAAAAGAACAATAATGCTGAAAGTGTGGGGCAATCCATGCATACTTTTGACCTGCTGTGAGAATTTGCAGCAGACACCTATTCTTTTTATATCTGCAATAATAATGCTAAAAAGAACTAAAATTCACCAAATGTTCATGTAATTTAAATAGAACAGAATGTCCCACAATGGGCAAATTTTGGTGTTTACAGCAGCAAAAAGATTATAGAAAAAATGGTCACACAAATGTGGACCTTAGAAAAATCTATAAGAAAAACATACTAGTGAAGAATTAAAAAATAAACAAATAAAATACTGTACTATAAAGTTTTTTAATAACATGAAACTGAGCAACTGGAGAATAAATAACCATCATACAGCTGTGGACATTTTTACAGTGATTGATATGGATAGTATGGATAACATCTGATGTTTTTTCATGAGTTTGAACTTTTATGGTTTAAATTTGAACAATGAGAGTGAATAATTTATCTTTATAAAAAATCTTAATACACTAAAAAAAAAAATGATGGAAACAGTCTCATTGGGTTGTAAACTGTAAATATTCCTCCATCTAGGTCATGTAAACACACATAGCTCTATGCGCCAAGGAGCATAAAAATCCAGGTTTATTCTCAAAGGTAAACTTCTATTCTGACATTAAATCAGCTGTGATGGTTATTCAGGCAGACGACATGCAGATAATCACACATGTCCATAAATAGCTGCTGAAAGGCATGCGTAATTGTACAAGGAAGTCAGCTTCGGTCTTGCTGGAAAACATCAACAATGGAAGAATATGATACATGATGCCCTTCTGGAACATGATGATGGATGGGTTATCAGCTGGTTTAGATTGTCAAATGCAGAGTGGCACTATTTAGCCTTACCAGTTTAACATCTAACTAATCCTCTGTGCAACAGCAGCATTTATTAGAAGGCACTGATTGTCAGGTTGGGTATTTAAATGCCAACCCAAAGTCATCCCCATGATGGCTGAATCTGTTTGTTATATTACAGAAAGTTGCTTAAAAATTAGCTGAAATTGACACACGTCAAATGACAATTTGAATCGAGAAGCCAATTTCAAAATGGAATCAGAGCTATAAATGCATTTATGCTCCTATAAGACAGGATATGTAGCCTACATGTCCCAACTGCTTTTATAACTTTAGAGCATTTTTTAGCAAAGCTGTAATACACAGGCACTCCTTCGTTCTCTGACCACCTCCAGTAGGCAATGATGGAGACGTGCCTTGCCCAAGGGCACAACAAGCATCCAAGCTGGAGATAAAAAAAAGACTCTTGGGTTGCGGGGTGAAATCCTGCATCCTACACAGCTGACTCACATGGCAAGAGACTCCTTTCCTTATTCATAATAAAGTAGAGTTTACTCTGTAAATCCGTCTCCGTCTTTTATTTACTTAGATAAAATTTAGAATAAAATATTCCCTATTTAAAAACATCCTCCATTTATATATAGTTTTTAGAATAATTTTCAGATTCATGGATATTTGTTAGATTTGTTGCTTCATCCTTACAGGAGTGTCACTGTATGACTTGAGATGAGAAAAGAATTAAAACCATTTTTAAAAAGATTAAATGACCTTTTCCCAATGGTATCATTAAAGAAAAAAAGTACAAGAGTAGACTCCCCTAACACAGAGACATCTTGCTGTGTAGGTTTTGACTAATTTAAAAAGTAGGGCAACTTCAGGCTAAAAGAACACGGTGCAGATGTAGTAATGTGGGCAGGACTTGCAATTGGCATCTCACACTTAAGAAGAAAGCAAGAACTGAGACATCCTGGAGAGAAATAGCAGAAAGCAAAATCTTTATTTTTGAATGAAGGGAAATGCAATGATGATGAAACGGAGAGAAAACGTTGCTCAGCTAAAATGTCTGCATTCATTTAACAGCTTTCCAAACACAAGTTTATGTTTACAAACTAGAAACTCGAATGACAGAGAAGCGATTCCTGCTGTTTTGTTAACAAGTTGCACCCAGATAGTTCCCAGAGTATGTTAAGCTGTTACACTTTTATACATCATTTTAGCTGACTGGCAAACTGGCAAGTAAATGATTATAGTAATGAGCTGAATATCTGTATTTGAAAAGTTTCTGGTGCAGTATAAAAACTTATTTTCATTCAAATCTTTCAAGTCAGATTTTATTTAAATAGTAATTTAAAATATTACCGAGCCATGGTTCCCTTCATTGATGTAAGAAATGTATATGCGGTATATCATATATGCTAAATGCAGTTCTACAGTTAGCAGATGCTCTTTGAGCTTGACTTTAAACAACTGTGACTTATTAATGGTCCAGTATCCAAAAAATAATTAATTTCACCTTACTGGTTGGACTTTGACCTGGGGACTTCCAGAGGATATCAGTCAGCAGGAAAAAAAACATAAAACATAGAAAAACACAGAGAGAGAAGCACAAGTCTTCATATATTTGTTATTAATACTCTAATACTAAGATTGGGTAATATATACTGATTATCTCAATTACGCAAAATTTTTGCTGAGATTACAAATTTGGAATATCTGCATTTTATATATTTTTTTCAAATGCATTTCTTAGGATTCCATAGTTTAGGGTCATCATCAGTTTGCCACTTTTTGTTCGTAGATTTATAATCTTAGCAGGTGTCTGTAAAATATCACTAGCTGCATAAATCTACATGTCATATTTTTTATTGTTTACAGTAGCAGGGCCAGCCGACTGGTTTACAAGCAGCTTAGATTAAGTTAGACTTTGATTTCAGTTCAACCCACATAAGGAATGTTTGAAATAACAGCTATTTTTTTTTTCAAACAAATGTTTGTCATTTATTTTATTTTTTTTGTTTTGTTTATCATAATACTAAAGGGTGGGGATCATTTAATAGGTATAAAAAAATAGAGATTTTATTTTATAATCACATTCTCTAGCTGTTGTTTACATAATCTGGCTAAAGCAACATGAGGACACTTCAATCCTTTACTTGTGTTGTCAAAACAAGCTATAAAAAATGCTGCTGGAAAAATAAGAAAGCCTTAAGAAAAATACATATTTTATTGTTGCTGCATAATCTAATATCAAAAGAATGTATTCCATCCTTTACTTTAACTCATCCTGGAGGTTTTCCTGATGATATAGATCTGGTAATATACAGACCTAAAAGAAGCTTGATTAATCATTTGCTGAACCATTTCTATATAGATGTAGATATAAGTTTAACATCATCAGCCCCCTAAAAGTCTGAGTGATGATACATTCTCTAGTCTCTGCTAAAAGCCATTGTAATTCCTCTGTGTTGCTATTACCTCTGGCAAGGAGGTTGCTTTTTTGGAGAGTTTGTCTCTCTTTGTACACGATCATTTGAAAAGTTATAAAACAGATTTTAATGATACTTTTCACAAGGGTGCACCCAAGTCCAAGGATAAATCCAGTAATTTTGGTCATAATCCGGATGGAGGAAGTTCTTAAAGGATTCTTTAACATTTGGCAGAACAAGCAGGTCACCCCTAAACCAGAGAGTGACAGCAGTTTGTCATTGAAAGCTTTAGCATGGGACTCAGAGAAGTCCAGAAGTATTACTCTGAAGACAAAAGCACAGGAAATGTGATCAAACAAGAAAGCAGAGTGAATAAAGAAGGTGAAGGCAGAACATTTGGTAATGATCCAGATCCTGTTCCCATTCTAGCTATAGAATTTAAGTCACAATATGGGGTAACATTTGCTGCTTGACGGAAGTCTATCCTCTTCGAGTGCTTTTCTAGTTAGAGTTGATCCCCCAAATATGAATCAGCTTTCTTTAGGAGACTAGTAATACCACAGCACCACAGATCACCTGCTGTGCTTCACAGCTGGGAAGAGGTTCTTTCCCAACTCTACATGGATGTGTAGAAAAGCTAAATCTCTGTGTAATTTGACCCAAGCAAGCAGATTTAATAAGCATTCTAGCAGCATTTGGAAAATGCCAGTTGTACCTTTATGATAGCAGGACTATAAAATGCACCACTGGTTTGACTTACTTATTAAACATATCCCCATAGCGAATCTTAGTGACCCCAGGGATTCCAAACTAGCATCCGATTGAAAACTGCCCTAATTCTCAAAAGTTTTTTTATATTATTAATTTAAGAATTTTGTTAATTTAAGTCATTGAAATGTTCTCAGAATCCTAAAAGCTGCTGATAGAAGAGGCATCAGTGGACTATAATCTTCAATGAACAATTTCATTCAATTTAAAAAGGTTCATTTTTTTTTTAGGACGATATTATGCTGCAGCAAAAAACATATGAATTTATTCTAAGCACATCTGTCCCAGTACATTTATCAGATGGAGCCTATTATATTTCCCACTAACTTTTACACGTCTTCATACTGTATTACCATAACCTGTTTAATGCGTTATATTATTGAAGCAACTGCCATGACACCTAAGATGAACACACCCTCTTATACAGTTTCAGCCAAATAAGACAACGTCTTATTATTTATTGGAACAAGGGTGTGTGTGTGTTTATGATCCAGTGTGAGAAAGAAACCAGCAGAAACAACAGTGAGATAAGTCTCATAATATGAAACGCTTTATTGAAGCCTTGACGTTAAAAGCTGTGAGACTGCCAAACCAAACTGACACACCTATCTCATAATTTATACTTTTCTACCAGTTCCTAATAAGTTGCAAATTTCTTAATCATCCGTTTGATGCAAGTCTCTCTCAAAGAGCGCGGCGAGGTACAGCAGCTTACCTTGAGGTGCCCAGCATGCATGTTGGCCCTCCGACACATTGACAGGAAATGAGGTAGCATTGTGCGTTCCAGCAGGATGTAAACAGACACCCTCCTTTTAAACCCGGCATCTAGCAGGTCTTTGAAGATGTCGATGTCAGTGAAGACATCCATCACCACTGCTATCACCTGGAAATGCAAACGAATGGGCGTGCAACTGTTAAAACCCACCCATGGGTAATCTTACATCATGTGCACCAACTGTTCAAGCACTAAATTATGCATTTATAGTATCAAAGCCCACTTTGGAGCATTCTCAGAAATAAGCAGGTTTAAAACCTTACTACTCTCATACATCCAGCACAGTAAATTAAGATGTTAAAAAAATCAGCTGAATATGATTAGTAAGCAATTTTAAAAATCTTATATTATTAAAGGAATTGTCCACTTTCAAAAATGCAGATAAATTGACCCAGAATGCATTATTCAAATAATTTGTCATAGAGAACAGCTTCGTTGAAATAAAACAAGTCATAAACTGTGAGGCCTTGGATGAGTCAGCTGCATGAGCTTACACAAGCACACAATGATACACATGACTGTGCTCTGCTCATGCAAATAGTCTGTATGACATGCATGCTTTAATGTCGCGGAAACAGTTTTAGACTGAAGCTCCTCTTTGATAAAGCGGTTTAATCAAACTGCATTTAACTTCCGACTGTAGGTTAGTCTGCAGTGCACTTTGGACTTTGATGCCTGGTTTCATGTGACAGCTACAGTCATTTATGTTGCTGTGTTCCATTTTGAAGGTTGGGAACCTGGTTTTCCTTATAGTCTTTTTATGAAAGTAGACAAAAGAACAATGTTCCTAAATAAAAAATCGGACTGAATAGTTTGGTCAAACAGAGCCTGGATGTGCTAACAACTGTATAATAAAGTCTAACAAAGTTTATTAAGAAAACAAAAAAGATACATTTTGTCTTTCACACACTGAAAAACTAAATAGAATAGAATAGAAAATCCCTTTATTGTACCAAAACTGGGAGATTGTGTAAACTAGATTTCTCAATTTTCAGTAGATGAAAGAAGATTGAATAAACCAGTCTTTGATGTAAAACATTTATAACCAAAGGACATTTTATTCCTGATAGTTTCAAAGCTGCCATGCTGCGATCTAATGTGTTAATGTGCTATATGGAGGACCAATTCTGCCATAATTAAAAATACATACAGAAATTTATGAAGGACTTAATAATACAAAATTGTTTGAAAAAGTAGCTAATAATATGAATTTGTCTTCCTTTAAATGCGACAAAATAATAAAAATTAGATATTTCTTCAACAACTGATTAATATTTATCTAAAATATATATATATATATCTTAACTTCCACTTTTAATTTTACTTTTCTTCTTCCTTTTACTCCGACTTATTTTTAACCCACTTATTTTCTCTTACATGTTTTTCGTCTTTATTTCATTTTTGTGCATGCCAATGGGTTATTTATTTATTTATTTATTGGCACACAAATTTATATTATTGGCTTCTTTTTCAAGCAATCTTATATTATTAAGTCCTTCATTTTTTTCTGTATGTATTTTTAATTATGGCAGAGTTAGTTCTCCATATTCCTAAAGCCCAAAAAGCCACTGCAAATGCATTTTTTTTCTAATATTAACAAAAAAAACGGTTAACTTGCATACTGTGATTCACACATATGCATAACAATCACCATGGTATTTAATTATAGTTTTCTTCATTCTCCAGATCACTGTAGGCAAGTATTTACTTTCGCATATATAAAGCCTTAATATGGTAGCAAAAACATTTTGGGGAACAACTTACAGCTCATGCTATGTTCAGACTGCAAGCAGAAGAAGCAGCATGCTGCTTTATTTTTGATGCTTTGATGACCTTTTTCTGCACCTTGATGCGTGTCGACCATTGACTTTGCATGTAAACTAGCTGCCTCTGCAGCTTGCAGTCTGAACGTTCAGACCAAAAGCATCTGAAGCAATCGTGAGCGTTTGAGCATCTGACGCTCTGCCAACGCACCTGCTGCTGGAGTTGAAAAATTGAACTTTTGCTGCTGGACAAGCCACATCAACCAATCAGAGAAGCTGATCTGGGAGCTGGAAGACTGACATAGCGCTCCTGATGCAGATCACTATGATCACTCCTCTGAAACAGTTTATTAACGCCTAAAGGAACTTAAAATGTCTAAATCTGCTGGCAAAACATGTTCACTTTTATTATCCTGGTGCCTGAAGTTTGGATTCCAGACATGAAAAACGCCATCCAGCCGCCGCCGCTGTTATAGAGGTGACCGGGCCAGAGGCTGCTGTTGAACGGGATTCCTACTGACAGCGCACCTCC